TTATTTTATTAAAAATATTTTAATAAATATATAAAATAAATTATATTTTTAATATATAATCCCTCTTAAATGCCAAACCAAAAATAAAAAAAAACTTAGGAAAACTAAAAACAACGGGGAAGAGGCAGAGCTTTATCTTTTCTCGTTCTGAGCACTGTCTCTTTCTTCCCTGTTCATTGACTCTTTTTCCGTGCAAGCTCTGCATTCTCAACACCCGCCCATGCCACATGCAAGCATCACAGAGAGCCCTGCGATTGTCCCCTTCTTAGTGTTCAAGTTCTACCGAGCAGCCCCTGATTTCTTGCTTTTCTCCCCAGTGCGTATTCTGCAGAAAGGAGGCCAATTTTGGCTTTGATCAGATCATGTGTGGAGAGTGAGAGATGGCAATCGAAAGGTTGATGACTGAGATTTTGAATTGGGGGGTTTTAGGACTTCTGCTGACCTCCCCCTATAAAAGAGGGTTGTTTGCTGATTGTGGGGGGATTTTTGGAGTGAGGCGACAGAGAGAAGAGAGAGTTTTCTGGGTTCTGATAGTAGGATTTCTTTGTAATCGAGCATATAGAACTCGAATTCGAAGTTGAAGAAATAAAATTTCATCTGTAATTCAACTCCCAACTAGCAATACAAAGAGGATTTCTATTCAGCCTCAGGTATTTCATTTTTTTTTTTCGCGTAAAATAAAGTTTGGTTCTGAGGTTGAATGACCGAAGCAACATTGGGTCTCCTTTGATTTGGTTTTCTGCTTTGTTCAATATTCTATAATTTGCTTTTAGATTGGAAATTTATGGCTGCTTATCTAATCTTGAGGATATGAGCTTATGCTTTGTGTTTTACCGCTTGTTCCGAATTTTGTTCTGTTTGTCGATAAATTCTTCATTATGTTTGTTCTTGTGTCTTGAGAAGTAGTTAAGAATTGAGTTCTGGGGACCGACCCAACCTTGTGCCTCCCTAATTTGAGTTTGCTGCTTGTTTTAAGTTGATCTAATTTTAATGTGTTGTTCCCGAGTCCTTAAAGAAGTTCATATTTGTAGCCAGAGATGAAGATCTTTTATTCCGTCGGGAGAAGCTTCAAGATATTGCTCAACAGATCCTCCATTTTGGTATCAAGCCTTACAATATCTTGCTAGACCGTAATTTCAACCCCAAGATCTCTGACTTTGGTTTGGCAAAGCTGTGTTCCAAGGAACAAAGTGCTATTTCTATGACAGCAGCCAGAGGAACAATGGGATATATTGCCCCTGAGGTACTGTCTAGGAACTTTAGAAAGGTGTCATATAAATCCTATGTTTATAATTTGGAATGCTATTTGTGGAAATGGTAGGAGGGAGGAAGAATATTAATGTCACAGTGGAGAGTACGAACCAAAGAAGTATATACCGTACCGTATCAGTCGGTACGGCCGGTATGTATCGGTTTTTAAAGTAGACTGAAACGGAGTAAAAAAGGATTTCGTTTCGGTCAAAATTCGATGATTTCGGTCAAATTTTAATATACCGGCCGAAATTTCGGCATACTGGCCAATACACCGAAATTTAACCGGTACAATATGCAAGAATTTCAAAAAAAAAAAAAGATTTCCTAACCAAAATGACGTCATTTTGGCCAGCCCTGCAATTTCCAGCGGGCAAATCCTCCTCTGTTCTGGCGCCCAGCTGTCTCTTGTCAATCTTCCATTTTTTAGTACAGTCGCCGCCTACAATTCAAATCAATTCAAACTTAAAAAGCATAAATTTCATTTTTAGTCCTTAATTTTAATATTTTATATAATTTTTATCATTTAGTTTTTTTATATACTTTTTTAGTCCATTC